GATGGATCCATGAAGGTTCATTTTATGTATTCTCTTAATTTTTGTATATTCTTGAAATTTTCTATAAAAATTTAAATCATGTATTTTTTCTTTTCTTATTGTGGTAAATATATGTAACATAAAGTTTACCATTTTAACCATTTTTAGTGTATACAATTCAGTGGCAATAAATACATTCATAATGTTGGGCAACTATCACCACTATCTATTTCCAGAACTTTTCACTATCCCAAACAGAAATTCTGTACCCATTACAGTAATTCCCCATTCCCTCCTCCCACCAATCTCTGGTAACCTCTCCTCTGCTTTCTGTCTCTGGATTTGCCCATCCTGGGTACCTCACATAAATAGAATCATATAGTTGTCCTTTAGTGTCTGGCTTATTTCACTTAATGCTTTCGAAATTCACTCATGTTGTAGCATGTATCAGAATTTCATTCCTTTTTATAGCTGAACAATATTCCATTGTGTGTATATACAGCATTTTGTTTGTTCATTCATCTATTGATTCAAATCAATTTTTATTATTGTTAGTTGAACTATAGTTGATAGACAATATTATATTGCTTTCGGATGTACAACATAGTGACTTGATAATTATATACTACTAAATTCTTGCCACATTAAGTGTAGTTACCCCTGTTACCATACCAAGATACTATAGTATTATTGGTTACATTCTCTATGTTGTACTTCCATCCCTATGACTAATTTATTTTATAAATCCAAGTTTGTACCTCTTTATCCCCTTCACTTTTTCACTCCCTCCCCCACCTCCCTCCCTGTAGTAACCAACAGTCTGTTGTCAGTACGTATGGGTTTGTTTCTTTGGTTTGTTTGTTTTGTTTTGTTTTGTTTCTTTAGATTCCTCATATAAGTGAAATAATGTGTTATTTGTCTTACTCTATCTGACTTATTTCACTTAGCATGATACCCTCTAGTCCATCCATGTTGTTGCAAATGGCGAGGTTTCCTGCTTTTTATGGCTGAGTAATATTCCATTGTGTATATGATATCTTCTTTATCTGTTATTATCTACTGATGGACACTTGGATTGCTTCTATTATGTTTGCTATTGTAAATAATGCTACAATTATATAGGTGTCAAACCAATTTTTAAAATGAAGTTCTTTATTTTAGAGAGGGTGCAGACAGTTGCAGGAAGGATATTGTTTGCATGTTTAAATAGGAGGCAACAGAAAATGAAACTGTATAGGATTTGGGAAATAACTAGAGATGTTTGGCACTGCTGGAGGCTCAAGAACACAGTGAGGGGAGCTGTGGTCAGTGGGGCTATTGAGAACAGGGGAACTGAATAGATATGAGCCTTGTATGCCATGCTAGGATATGATCTATTTCTTACAGGCTAAGGGGAGCCAGTGGAGGTTACCTTCCCTGTCCCAATCAAAACATATTCATAATTTTTCTCATTATATAAGTCATACATGCTTGTGGTCGGAAATTCAAACCATACTGAAATATATGCCATAGAAAAAAGAAATTACCTCTTTTCTTCCCCATAGAGCTGAACATTATTAAAAGTTTGTTGTGTATCCTATATCAAAGCTCACCAGCTGAAGACCACAAGAACCACCTAAAGTTAAAGTTTGGTTTATATTTCACTTGCTCTAGCAAGAGCACACGTGGGAGCAACTGTGGACATATGTCATTGAGAAGGAATTGGAAAGGACGTGTTACATGATTTGAACTTGGGCGATTCTAAGGCTGTTTTAGGCAAAACAGGGATCTGCTCTGGATTGGGTATCAGGAAGCAGGGACAATTTGGTGACTGCATAGGTCTTTCATAATTTTTATCTAGAATGTCAAAGGATTAAGGTAAGGCTGGATATCATTGGTAAAGGCTGGATATCATTTGTGTTAGTTATGAAGACCATATTAGCAATTCTTTAGGTTTCAGAGTATCTTTGACTCTGCCTTTTTCCCCTATAGTCACAGAACGGCCTTGTCTCATTTTATTACTTATCTCCTGTGAAGGTCATTGATTTTTGAAACTATCAGCTTCCAGGGATATCTTTTGCTTTCTCACTTCTCCATTTTTAGTGAAGGGCAGATGAAGTCAGCCTCCAAGATATATTATTCTGTGAAATTCAGATCCACTGTCAAGATTCCATTGATCAGATGTTTGTTTAGAGAACATCATCTGCTGTTGAATTCAAGTCTCTACTTCATATTACTTCTGTTGGAAGATAGGCTTCTGAATCACCTGATGTGACAAATGGCTGTATGCCAATATTTACATGTATGGAAAAATCAGCCAGAGTCCTGATTTCTTATTTTGTTTGTGTCCCAGAACATTTCAGTAATATTAAGCATTCCAGAGAAGTCTGTAGGGATATAAGCACATTTCCCTTTTAAGAAACATATATTCCATCTTGAGAAGCCAATATTATATTGAGAGCTGCTCTATTTTGATCACTGCCTATCCAAGTTTATGAACTTTTGAGACAGGTCCTAAGACTTTAGTGTCATTCATTTACCTTTCCCGTTACTTCTGTACCTTAACATGTAGAATTCTCCTTCCCTCCTTATTAGTGTAGAAAGAAAAATCTCTTCCTAGATGTGACATAATAGGGATTTCAAACTTTTGAATATCTTGCCTGTTGTGGTGTAACAAAAATTGTTAGTAACTGAATCTAACTAACCTGATTTTTTATAAGAAAAAGATAGCAGAGGGAACTGGTTACACTCAAAGGAAAGTGGATACAAACCCAACAGTTGGTTTTATTATATCTTTTAGCTAAATCACAAGAAAATCAGACTAGGTACTAAACTCACTCCAAGGACTAACCAAAGATAAAAAGAACACTATAGAGAAAAGGCCTTGTGAGTATTGTGGTCAAGAGGTCCCATGTATCTTAAACCAGAAGAGAGGAAGAAAAATAACAACAAAGATTAAGAGCATGCATATTAAAGCATGATAATTTTTGGTTCTGGATATTTAGATCGAGTTCTGTGGGTCTTGGGTGGGAGCTATGTACTTCCTACCATTGTTAACTTGATCTGAAGGTCTTGAGTGCATGATTTTCCTGTCTGCAGCTTTCTACTTCTGGAGGATTTGTAAGACTCCTCCAATGAAGATCTCTGGCTGGGACAGTCTTCCATTGTGTAGTGGTTCTAAAACATGTCCACAAGTTTTGGGCACTCCTTCTCTCAAGATGTAGAGCCTATGTCCGTACTCCCATGAACTTGGATAGCCTTTCACTGCCTTGTCTAATAGAGTAAAATAGGAGCAATGTTGTGTGACTTCCAGTTGCCCCTGAGACACTTATTCTGGGAGACTTCAGCAATCATGTAAGGGATCTGCCTATCCTGAGGCTTCCATGTGGAGAAATCATGTGAAGATAAGAGGGAGATGGAGAGAGAGAGAAGGGGAGAAAGAGTAATTCCTGAGGAGCCCGAGCTGTTTCATCTCCCAGTTATCTGAGTCTTCCCAGCCCAGGCACCAAACATATGAGTGAAAAAGCCTTTTACATAACGCTAGCCATGTCATGTGAGACTCTGAATGGGAACTACCTAGCTGAGTCCAGCTGAGTCCCTAGATTTTTGAGCAAAATAAAGTGATTGTTATTGTTTGAAGTCTCTGTTTTAGGATGGTTTATGTTTCAAAAGATAAACAGAGCACAATGAATTAAGGATGTCTTATGTCTTTCTATCTGAGAAACTTGAATCCAAGAATAAACACCTTGGAATATTATTGCAGTATAAGTTGGTAACAGCACCTGCTAAGGTCTTTTCCATTGAAGTTATTCTCTTTCCTCTCTTTGGTGGATAATTTTGAGAGATTATTCTGAGTAGAGGCTGCTGTGCTGAGGACAATGGGTGGTATTTCAGGAACTAATCTCCTAAAAGACTTTAAACACTAGTGAGAGAGATAAGACGAGTACTCAAAAGATGTAGCTGAGACAACTCAGAGGTTGCTCTGGTGCTTTACAGACATCACTTCATCTTATAATGAGGAAAGAGACTCAGCTTATGTATTAATATCATGCTGCAAAGCAGACTTTCTAAGTGCAAGAAGAGAGCCTGGAGTTAAGGGATTGACAAGCGGCCAGAGGCAGAGATGTGTGATGGGAGAGATCTTAGGAACTGTCAGGGTGCTGGTTTGGCTGAATCACATTGGATGGGAAGGGGGTAGGTGCAGGCTCAACAGGCATGACTCAAGAACAGACACAAGTTGTCTCTACCTAGCAAAGTGAACCTTAGAGAAGAGTTATGTGCTTTTGTCATGTAAAAGAAAAAAGTGCTGGGTTAATTATGAGATTTCTGAAATTAATTTTTAATTGCATATGTAATATATGAATGAGTATGTTCTTGAAAAGAAATGAGAACTATTTTGGGCTCTAATTTTGATCCTCTCTCTGACACCACTGTTAACATAGTATGTGTTTTCTAGACCTTTTCCCGTGCATTTACATACTTCTGAACTCATATAATATATACTTTTATGAAACAAATACTGTACTCTTCCTTCTGTAGTTAAAAAAAAACCAAAGCAATCCACCATTGGATTTATTCATCTTTTCAATTTCTGCATGTGTTCTGTAACAGGGAGTATCACAATTAATTTAGTCATTTGCTTGCTCTGAATGTTCCAACTCTTTATTGTTACTGAGCTGAACAGAGCAACTAAAATACAGCTTCTGTGCAAACAAGCTGGCGTTTCCCTAGCACTGACAACTGGTGACACAGTTATAGGGAGGTGTATTTCAAAATGTGATGTATCACGCCACATAGCCTTCTAAAGTGCTGCACCCGTTTACACGCCTATGTAGACACTTTTTAATCACTCCTTTCCCGGTAGAGATAATTTTCCCCAAGAGGGGTGGAGGCCCAGCAAACCCAGCCCCGTCCCGCCCCTGGCCGGGGCCCAGGCTGTACGCCCGTCTGCCCCATGCTATTTTCTGCTCCGCCCTTCCGCTCGGAGGCCGCGCCTCTTCCGAAGGCGGGCCGTGGGTCTGCCGTGACGTCACTGCCGGCCGGACGCCATCTTTCTGCTTTGCGGCCCGTCTTGGCTGTGGCGGTAGCGAGGGTGAGGGCGTGGGGACGGGTGGGGTGAGGAGCGAGGCCGCGGCGAGGGGGGCGAAACTCTCCTCCCCTCAGCCCCACCGCGTGGGACGGCGTGAACGCTGTGTCGAAGGGATGTCCGCTTTCTCTGAGGCGGCGCTGGAGAAGAAGCTGTCGGAGTTGAGCAACTCGCAGCAGAGCGTGCAGACCTTGTCCCTGTGGCTCATCCACCACCGCAAGCACTCGCGGCCCATCGTCACCGTGTGGGAGCGGGAGCTGCGCAAAGGTGAGTTGCCCGCGCCTCGGCGTCTCCGCGCCACCAGGACGCCACCCCGCTCTTCGGGAGGCGCACTCCCCGGGCGGCCCCAGATCGCCGCTCCCCGGAATCCGTCCGACTGGCGTCCCGTACCCCTGGCTTCGGTGGTCCTCTGGATGGGAGGAGCAGTGTGCGCTGCGCGTCCCGTTAAGTCGGCGCTTAGTAGGTATTGTTGAATATAGAAATGAAGGATGCAAAAAAAACTATTGATTAACAGAAACAGAGCCTAGGGCTCAGACCCTGCACTTCATTGGGCTAGAAATTCAGGCAATCAGGTAATTTTTCATTCTGGAGATTATAATGGAGGCTAGGGAAGGGAAAGAAACGGAAATGGAAATAAAAAATGGTGTGGGGGTTGGGAGTTCATGCCATCATTTCTGTAACACATTAACTCAATCTTGTAAAATTTAATGGAGGAATCAGAGTTTTAGAACTTGAAACGTCTAAAAATGAGATGCGTGATGCAGTAGAAGGAAACCTCAATTTAGATTTTAGAGGACCTAGATGGGGCAGATTTCTTAATTTATGGGTTGCGAGGGAGTTAGATTAAGTTATCTAGCCTCTTTATTTTGCAGAGCATTCGATAGTGCTCCTGTAAATGAAGTTAACTTTTGAGCAGTATCCTAAAATATCCAGAATCACTAAAATGCAGAATAATTTCACTTTTGCAGAGCAACTTAATCTGTAAAAAATGTATGTTGGTACTACTGAAAATAAAAAGTTTTAATTTTCTTTGGGTTTGTACCTTAATTCTTAATTCATTGAGTAGAGAGTGGGCACACTTCATTTTGTTTTAGATACCCTGGTGTATTAATATGATTGTCATTTATAATTCAGTTTTAACAAATCATAATTAATTAAAACAGAGGCTTGTTTACTGACCCAAATGAAAGCTGTAGCCAAATATGATATGATATGATAGCCAAAATACGGCATTGGCTATATAAATGGACACAAACTACCCTTTTCTTTTTTTGCTTGCTTGCTTATGGTTAATCCCTAAGAAAAAGTTGATTTAGAACCTGTTTTTTTCAATTCAGATATAAGTGTATTTGTACTGGCTCTCGAGGAATTTATCTTCTGTGACTAGCTGAAAACTTTTGAGAAACACAGATATGAAGGTCTGGAAAATAGTTGTGAACTTTGAGATGGCAGGCATTGTCCTTGCTTGTGTACCTCTAACTAGATTTAAAAATCAACAGGTTTATGCTTTTTGGAAAGAGCTTTTAGAAACAAATAATAAAGATTTGCTATTCAGACTACCTTAAGAACTACCGCAGATCAGTGGACAAATGACAACAGCAGAGAAAATGGCAACACTGTTAAAAACATTTCACCTGAAAGGCTAATAAATGATACTTCAAAATTAAACCAATGAGGTACCACGCACTATACCCTTCAGTTTGCAAAATTAGTAAGAATAACAAAATTAGAAACAGTTGAAACATCTCATTAGTTAGGGTGTGAACAAAATGTTGTGATAGTCCTACAATATAATACTGTCCAGTTTTTATGAATGAGCTAGAGCTACATGAAACAACATTTCTGGATTTAAAAACAACAGTTTTGAGCTAAGAAAGCCAGGTGCAGACCGATATGCCAGTTTGAAAACATGAAAACAGTACTTTGATACATATATTTATAGTTAAAACACAGTAATGATTAACACCATATTCCAAGGTAAAGGGTACCATAGGGAGAGAGGAACTAAAATTGTTATCTTTTATTTCATATACTTTAAAAAATATTTGATACCCATGTGAGAAAGAGCTAAGACGCGCTATTATTTACCTCGGTTTGGGGATGTTTCCATATGTTTAAACGCTTTGTAATAAGAAAAAATTAAAGGCATATAAATTGATGCTTTAGGAGAGCGGTGATGTGTGATGATAGTGATGATGGTGCTGATCGTGCTGCTGCTGCAGTTCTTAGTTTGGTCTGGGATTATCGGCAAGGGTTTCCTTTTCTTGGCACATGACTGCTGTTGTCCGGCATAGCCTTTGTGTCCAACCCCCACCCCCGCTGCAATTTTGCTCATCATATTCAGAATCCTCTGTCTCCAGTGGCAATTTACTGATTACCAGGCATGGTTTTAGCCATCTTACTGTGATACCTTGAATCCTCACATTATATCTTCAAAATAAGTATTTATGAAAGGAATTGATCAAATTTGAAGTAAATCAAGAAAATTGGTTGACATTTTGTATTAAGCTAGGAATTGAAAGAAGACAAAAATGTGTTATTCAAAATATAAGAATGAATATTAAAATGATATGGCAGACAGTAATTATTCAGTTATGAAAATTTCCCTCTTCTACCTTCCTTATCTGTGTTTCCTTTAAAGAAAGAATTTCTCTTTGGAGGGATGAGGGATATGCCCTAAGGCCTTAATGAAGACCAAGGTCGCTGTAATTTCCTTGGTCAATGCAATAGAATGTAACCAAAACATAATTGACCATTTTGCTGCTTTTAAAAAAGTTTTATTGGGATATAATTAAAATACCATACAATTCATCCATTTAAAGTATAGTTTAGCGGTTTTTAGTATATTGTGCAGTTGTAAAACCATCACCACAATTTTAGAACATTTTCATCACCCAGAAAGAAACTCCATGCCTCATCATTGCGTGAACCTCCCATCTTTCCCAGCCCTAGGCAACCACTAACTTACTTTGTGTCTGTAGATTTAGCTATTCTTAGCATTTCATTAAATGGAATCATATGATAGGTGGTCTTTTGTGACTGGCTTCCTTTGGTTACCATGTTTTCTAGGCTCATCCACGTTGTAGCATTCCTTTTTATGGCTAAATAATCCATCGTATGAATTTATCCATTTATCAGTAGATAGACATTTGGGTTGTTTCCACTTTTGGGCTCTTAAGAATAATACTGCTGTGAACATTGCATACAAGTTTTTGTGTTTTTATTTTTCTTGGAGTAGAATGGTTAGGTCATGTAGGAACTCCTTTTGAGAAACTGCCTGTCAGTGACTGCATCATTAGACATTCCTTCCAGCAGTGTCTGAAGGTCCAGTTTCTCCATCTCTGCAAAAACTTTTTGTCTTTTTGATTATAGCCACCCTTTTGGGTGTAGAGTGGTATCTCATTGTGCGTTTTAATTTGCATTTCCCTGACTAATGATGTTAAGCATATTTTCATGTGCTTGTCCATTTTGTGTATCGTGTTCAGAGAAATATCTATTCAGATCCTTGCCCATTTTTAAATTGGTTTGTCTTTTTATTATTGAGTTGTAAGTGTTTAGGTATTCTAGAAGTCCCTTATCAAATCCATGACTTGAAAATAGTTTTCCTCATTCAGTGGATTCTTTTAAATTTCCTAAAGGTGTCTTATGAAGGTGACAGTTTAAAACTCTTAATGACTCAATACTGGGCTAAATTATAAAACAAAACTGTTAATATGCATCATTAGTTAAATTGTGTATTACATTAATTGCTGTGGAAATATTGACCTCAAACATAGCAGAATACAATAACAACTGACAGTTTGACCCTTTTCTACATGCAAACACAACAAAAAACTCTGCAAGAGTTGTTGAAAACAAGATAGGAGGGAGTTCTTTGCAGTTGACACACGGCTTTGCTAGTCTAGCTGATTGTATCCTTTCCACCAGCCTCTTGTATTTACTCATATTCTGTCTTAAATCATAATTGCCTCATCCCTTTAGAATATATTAATTCACCTGTATTTATTCTCTCTTATGTGTCAGGCAATGGATATTCTGATCATAAAGAAAGCCAGGTTTTTGTATGTCACATATAATTCATTAACCAGTAAAAAGAAAAGTTTGTCCCTGCCTCAGAGAATTTATAGTCTCATGGGTTGGGGGTAGCAAACAAAGAAATAAATTGTAAATGTAAGTTCATTAAAGGGGAAAAACTTTAAGTAGTGATGGTGAGGGGAATCATCTTCGTAAGGTGACCTTTAATAAGAGACCTCTCTGAACCAGCTATTGCCTAAGTTGGGAGGGGCATTTAGGCACTGGGAAAATGTGAACATGATGAGGCAATGAATAGCTTGGAATGTAAAGAGCCGAACCTGGAAGTGTTAAAGCCTTGAATGCTTGTTAACTGTTTTTCTCAAAATTAGCAACAATTAAAATACTAATTATTTAAAGTTTAGATTTCCCTTCTCTTTGTCTTTATTTTTAAAAGTTTACTTATTTAACTTTGTTAAAATCAGTACTTTAATCAATAAAATTATTATACATCATTCAGAGAATTAACTAACACTTTCTCTTGTATTATATGTTGCTTATGAAATGGGTAGTGGGCTCCTTCAGGTCGTGGTTTTCCGTTTTGGTTTTAGCTTCTATAACCCCAGCATACTGCTTTTGATGACGGCTCTTAAATATGTTGAGTTTAACATTTATATAAATAAATTTGGCTTTAGGTTTGTAAGAGGTACTAAAATAAGTACTACATATTCTTAGCTGCCCTAATTTGTTTGGTTTTAGAAAAATAGAAAAGGTAGCATTTTATGTTTGCTTTAAAATAAAAGCACGTAATAGTATAAATCTTTAAAATGAAGAGATTATATTTTCAGTTGACAGCTCAGTGGCTTTTGTATTGTCTGATACTATTGTTTGCCGCTCTTTTAAAAAGTTAGCATTGAGCAAGTTAGTGGTTATATTTTTGAAGTTCTTTATAAAATACAAGGATTTGATGTTCTCAAACTGCATGACTTCAATGAGCCCATTTCTAGTCATACCCAGCTTTTTAAAGTTACATTCTTTATTAATAACTAAAAAAAAGTTAATTTCTTAAAATATTGCCAAATACCCAGCCAGTATTCATTTACTTGATTGTCTTGCCTTTCCTTTTCTTTGCCATATATTTGAATCTGAATCCAAGTAAAGTTAATTCATTGCATTTGATTACTATACCCCTTAAGTCCCATTGCACCAATGGATTCCCTCTGTCTTTAATTTTAAATTTATTCTTTGAAAAAACC